TACTACTACTACTACTACTACTACTACTACTACTACTACTACTACTACTACTACTACTACTACTACTACCGTGGAATATATCAAAGAGCATGTAAGGAGTGGCCAGTCAAACGCTTGACGTGACGTTGGGGAGACGTCTGAAGGGCGGGAAAATCATCCATTTTTGTCATCGCCATTGTGACTTATTTAAATGGCCCTACCTCGGAACGAAAAACCAACTGAATTAGAGAAGTTGTTTGACCTTATTTTCACGACTTGGTCATGTTGGCAGGAAGACCCGGAGGAACGCAACTTGTCCGGAGTGCGTGGTATGAATGCCGATTTCCACAGTCGGATTGTACACTTGGTACATTCCCAGACAATTCATCGGCATCGTAGTCGGCATCGCGACTAAGCCTTGCAACTCCTGTCTCTTTGACAAGTTGTAGTGTGACGCCACAGGCCAGGGAATGTGCCAAGTCCATGGTCCAACTCTGGTCTTTCTACAAACGTGACCAATATGAAATGTATTCACACAATTTCGTTAAAGGTGATGAAGGACTGGTAGAAGAAGAATTTTCCTACAATGATATGAGTTGACCTGACGTTTCCATTGAATTTCACATAGCCTTGATTTCACAAAAGTTGTTCTGATCCAGACTATATGAAATTTACACCCTGGATGAGAACAACTTTTGGGAAAGCAAGGCTATGGGAAATTCACACTTCGGATGAGAACAACTTTCGGGAAAGCAAGTCAATGTAAAATTCACACCCTGGATGAGAACAACTTTTGGGAAAGAAAGGTTATGTGAAATTCATAAAATGGATGAGTACAACTTTTGGGAAAGAAAGTTTATATGAAATTCACACCCTCGGATGTGAACAACTTTTGGTAAAGCAAGGCTTTGTGAAATTCACACCCTGGATGAGAACAACTTTTGGGAAAACAAGGCTATGTGAAATTCAATGTAAACGTCAGCTCAACTCATATCAATGTGGGAAAATTCTTATTCTACCAGTCCCTCATCACCTCAAACGAAATTGGGTGAATACATCTCATATTACTGATAGTCACGGAAACAATACTTAATTCAAAAAATATGACCAAATTGCGAAAACAAGATCACACAACTTCACTACAACGAAAGGAGACTGCGACCATACAAAAGGCCACACCATCTTAGTCTTCATACTTTCGATCAACTGAATTATGTCTTCGCTATCCTAATCTTCTTTCCGTACAATGATTTTCATTAATATCATATTTTAGCTTAATTGCAGCTGATAGCATGTTTAATCATGCCTGAGCATGTATGAAAAGCACAAAAATACCATTGAACGTTTTCAATTTCGGAAGCACAACCTTTTTGCCTTTATGTGAATTTCGCTTAGAATTTACAAGCTGCCCTAACAGTAAACAGGGCAGAAAATAACAAGTACAGAAAATAACACCGCCTCATCTGCATTCTAAGAATTCGTGTCCACAATTTGACATTCCTTACATTTCGTGTGAGCAGGAGATTTTATCTGGTGCGAAAGTAATGAAAAAAACTTTCTCAAATATGAATCATTATTTCAGATACAACTGCTTTTAATTATTGACACACCCAGACAGGAATTGGCTTGCTTTTTCATGCTGACATAATACCGCTTTGCCCATAGACCTGCTGCCTCGACAGCTCACATATTTACTACAAGTTGTATCAGAATATCTAATGCATCAACTTAATGAGGCACCGATAACAAAGTTTATCAGCTCCTGATAAGCAGACTAGAATGTAGCCCATGGATTTTTGCTACAGGACAATCTTCATGCTAATGGTTATGCAGGTAGGTTTATGAGACTACCAGCAGATGATGTATATGCGATATATTCTCGTGTGAAGTGATGAGGGAGTGGTAGTTTGATTTTTCCCACAATAATGTGAGTAGGCGTTACGTTTCTATTGAATTTCACCATAGCCTTCCTGCCCAAAAGGCATTCTCATCCCAGCTGAGGTGGACTTCAATCTCGACCTCGCCCCTAGCGGGACTCGAATCCTGTCAGTGTCGCGTATAAATTTTCACGGTAGTCATGACGCCAGGCTAGCACTGATGTACTTGAATCACAGGGCAGATGTGAATTTCAAGCAAGGCCAGGCCTTTTCCATTGTCATATTTGCTACAGCAATCGACCATACTACTTATGTTTCGTTTATGAGTAGATATATTCAATCAATTCCGTTTAGGGTGATGAAGGAAGGTGATGCTGGATGATATAAATTGGCATTACGTTTCCAATTAATGTCACATAGCCTTGCCTTTTGGGCAGCAAGGAATACTCATATCATTGTCCCATTATGCACTGTTCTAGCGTGGAGAAAGATGTGTAAACAACTGCATTCTTTTTACTCTTTCCCATGATTTAGACGGTGTACTTTATAAATGTAAATCAACCTTTTAGAGAACTTGCTTTCTTCTGGAATGTTAATTACAATTGTTGGGATTACTTCCATTTCGAGTAGAAGTGTTGGGTGAAGAGATTCGAAGGTCGGTTCCA